GGTATGTAGGCAACAGTGCCTGCAAGTAGGCAATACTAAATAGTACGTAGGCAATAAATGCAACCTAGGTAGGCAATAAATAAATACAATCAATAGGATTTACTCTTTAGGTACTTTATTTAAATGCATATTGGAAGATGCCTGACTGCCTGGTTGGTCTGTTTGATTTCAAATCTATCTGTCCTTTCCTTCGTCTTTATTTGTTTTTGCAGATTTTTCAAAAGGTATCTTTTAAAGGGGCACTTGGTATCTTTTAAAAGTACCCCTTTAAATCAACCCTCTTTTTAAAAGGGGCACTTTTTAAAAGATACCTTTGGAAAAATCAGCAAAAACAAATAAAGACCAAAGGATAGATAAGGTAATAAATACATTTGAAATCAAAAAAACTGTCTTACCATTCTAAAATGTGGAAAAAGGGAATGTTATATAGAGAATTCTCTGCAGAATTTGGAGACTCCAAATGCATCCTGCCTGCCTGCCTACGGTCAGTATTTTAGATGAACTGCACTGATTAATCGGGTTCCTCTAATTGACATTGGATTCGATTCCATTTCATGAATGAAGGCTTTTCAAGAATCTGCAAAAAAAGAAGGAAGGATAGCGTTATGAATACAAATATCGTTTAGGATTAATACAACTAACTGCCTTACCGTCTCATTATCCAAAAAAGATGAGTTTGTCCTCTAGAAAGTGAAGATATTTGAATTGCATCCTGGCCATTGTGTTGATCAATTTCAGTAACATGCAGCAGCTCGCTCCATTTAAAAGATACTTTTAAAGAGATCTGCAAAAACAAATAAAGACGAAAGGATAGATAACCTTATAAATGCATTTGAAATCAAAAAACTGCCTTACCATTCTAGAGTGGTACGTACTTTCTTCTCTAGAGATCCCAATTGCATCCTGCCTACGGTCATTCAACATCACTATTGGCATCAACCAATATTAACCTTAAAAGAAAAAGAAATCGCTTACAAAAATTAGATGGCATTGTAAGATATATTTATATATTCGCTAGTGCGATTTAATTAATATTAATAAAATTACCTGAAATGAAGGCAGATCTAGTATTTGAAATGCACTGCACACTGATTAATCGGCTTCCTCTAATTGAGATTGGGTTTCTTTTCCTGAATATATTCATTGCTTGGAGGGTTTTCTAAGAATCTGCAAAAAATAAGAAAGGCAAGCGTTGTAAATACATTTGAAAAACAATATCGGATAGAATTAACACAACTGCCTTACCTTACCGTCTCGTCATACAAAATAGATGTATTTTATATTGCCCTCTAGAAAATGAAGATATTTGGACTGCATACTGGCATACTGGCCATCGTCTCGATCAATCTCTCGCTGCTTCCGTTTCGTAAAAGGCATCTTCACTCATGGCATTGCGGTCTGCACTACTACTACTGACTAGGACTAGGCAATGAGGTGTCGCTATCGTTAGTATTATGATTATAGACATTTTGCATTTACATCACATTATATCCGGGAACCCGCACAGCTTAAACTTCTACCATTGTCTGATTGATGATCAACCATTTTCATTGTTGCCATATTTTCCAATTTTCGAACCTTGAACTTTTCTATTTTATACGAATTGCCTGAAGATGAATTTCGCTTTCATCGGAGAACACTCTTGTGACAAATGAATCATGAAAAATTTTGGGTTATGAACTTTGAATTCTTGTCATCAGCAAACTTAAGGAAGTATTGCGTTCAACTCGTCAGAGGAGCTCTGAAGAGAATCATCCGTATAAGCAATAGTCGTAAACTGCTTAACCAAAGAAATAGAAAATGAATTTGCGGGAAATTTATTGTTGAAATTTATTATATGAATATATGTTTTTTTGTTTTTTTTATATTTTTTTTATTACCTGTCAGTCTCGCTCCACTACTTTGTTTATATTCAGTGCACGGATTTGGATTTTCTTTTTTTGTTACCTTCGAAAGAATGGATATTTTGTTCATACACTACTATTTATTTAATGTTTTTTAAAAGGCAACAACAACTAATGCTAGAAGGCATTTCTTCTATTAGGAAATTACGACGATTCCACTACATTAGCCTTCTTAGCCATAAGAAGAAGAAAGCGAAACTTTTTCAGATTTGTCGTCGTGTCCCCATCTGTATAGTTAGTTAGCCGTAGTAGCTGCATAAAAGAGACGATAGCTCCGTCTTGTGGTGTCGAGATGAACGTCAGTGGCTATTTAAAAGAGATGAGAAATCCTCTTTTTCTTTCTCTTTTTTTTTTGTTTTTTTTTTTTTTTCTCTTCTATTCATGATTCTTTTCTCTTTCTACTTGGGAACTGATTTTTCTGATTTTTAATTTTTTGATATATTTTTGTGAAAATTTATTTTGATTTTTTTCGCTCATTTCAATCGAAATGAAAATTTCTTATTTTAGTCTTCTTTAAAATGTGAATTCTTTCGTTTTAATACGAGATCTTTTCGGTTTACAAAATTTTTGCAATAGAAACTAATTTTTTGAGTAGTTTTTTGTTCTTTTGTCTCGAATTTGAAAATTTTACAAAATCCAAAAGACGGGGAAGAAAACAAAAAATGCAAAATTGCAAAATTGAGAAAAAATAATTTTGCAAATTCTACGTGATATACGAAGGAAAAGTATTTAATAAAAAAAACATATTTTAAAACAAGTTTTCTTTTTCGAAAGTGTTTTGGACAGAATAAAGTGGAAATCGTGGAAAGTGCAAAAGAGGTGTTGATGAAATCTAATCGTATTATTGTGTGCGCATTTCTAAGCCTAAATGAAATCAAATCGAGATTTTTTACTCTCCATACAAGAGTAGTTTAAACATAATGCACAAGAAAAAAAAAAAAAAAAAAAAAAAAAAAACCCGTTAATAAAAGCGGGTTGTGGTTGATGGCGCCGTTTAACGTCTGGGTCTCTTTAATGTATTAATAAAGTTGAAAAGGGCTCTTTCGGATAAGATGGCCATTTACGGATTCATGCTTAGCATTGACGTAATTCAAGCAATTTTGTAGTTGTAGGGCGAAAAGAGAGATGACTTTTTTTAGATCTTTTCACACAAAGTATATATATTTTAATTGCTTTATAAGTTTCTATTTTTGTCAGCACAACAATCCCAGCACAACCTCCCTGCCCACGTTCCTGTTTAAACTCGGTGACTATTGAAATGATTTCTTTCCCTTACAGACAATTTTTACCGCAGACAAGAAATTTTTCTTCTTTTTTTTTTTTTCTTCTTCGTTTGTATATTAAACGCTAATATTGTTTTTACGCGCTATATTTCTCTATGCCGTTTTGCCGTTTTCTCATCCTTGCTTTGTTTTTATTTATTTCAACTGGCAGAATTGTTTTTTGCGCGAACAAGTCAAGTGTTGTCTTGTTGTGTCTCCCGGTTTTTTGTTTCCACACATACTCATGCCTTTCTTTATCTTAGATTACTTCTCGCTTTCGAGGCTCACTGGCGGATGGAAATGAAATTGAAATTCTATTATCAAAAGCGCAAACTCCTCGACCCTTTTATAAATATTTGAACGCTTCGCGCTGTTCTTCACTGCTCGCGCGTAGTAGTACGAGTCAAATATTGATTGCAATCATGAAGTCCAAGCTGAAAGCGATTGTGAATCGAAACATTAGAAAAGCGCGCAGTTATAGGACAATAAAGTGAGCAGAGGGAGGGGAGCAATCAAACCTTTTCCTCTTCTTCTGTCCATACTTATTTATTATCTGCAAAATTTTTGCAATTGTCTTGAAACAAATAATTTTATCCAAGCCTTGCTTATTATCTTAAATTCCTAGAAATTGATTAAAAAAGTAATTTCCTGCATCACTTTAAACGAATACTTTGCCGCGGATACCGATTTTTGCGACGTTAGGAATCATTTTATTCTTTTCGAAGGCACAAAGCTTTTCTTCCATAAAAAACAAATATATAAATGCAGAGTTTCCGAAACATTCGCAACATTTGAACGACTCATTAATAAGGGTCATATCTAAAATGATATCTTGCAATTTGGGCGCAATAAAATTTATGCATTCGTCATTAACTGTTATTCGAAGAATAATTAGGCCACAGCTTAGTGAGATTTTGTGGACGCCCTCGTTTCTCAACAATCACGTATGAATTTTCTAAAGTTTTATCCGGATGAAAATGCCTCTCATGGCTAAAGAGAGAGGGTGCAGTGCGAAAAGTCAACATCTTGTTCTTCACTGGCCCACAATCTAATGCCATATAGCACTTATAGCTCCATTGAACAAGCAACTAAATGGTTGATTTTTGAGAGCTTCACACTTAATACTAATGTCGCTGAACTATCATCTTTCACGATGTTTTGCTTTCCTTGGGCAACACAACACTTTGCCGCACAAATGAGGTCAAATTCAAATTTTACCTAAATTTTCGTTCGCTCTACTCGCTCCATACCCTTGTATAGGTATATTTGTATTTGTTATGTGCAGGTAAATGCTATACGTTTCCAGCTTTTCTAGGGTTAAGCTAAGCTAAACAGAATTTTCATAAAAAATTAAATTCACTTTTTTTTTTTTTTTTTAAATTTTCTTCCAAACGCGGCCTAAAATATATGCTATATATAAAGTCTCCGAGCTAGTGAGTGAGTGAGTGAGTGATCCTTACCTTGAACCTTAATATTATATAAAAAATGCATTTTAAGTTCATTCCAACGATGCAAAGAGAATGCAAAGATTTGCGTTAATAATTAATAATCAATAATTAATAATTAATAATTATGTCGTCAAAATATAATTTTATATGTGCAGGTGAAGAAAACCAAACAAACAAACAGACAGACAGACAGATTGACAGTGTGAATTGCGAAAATTTCAATTTTATTATGAGTCATAATCAAATAAAACGAGAACGAGAATTGCGAGAGAATAAATGTTATGGAAAATTAAATAAATGAAAAAAAAAAAAAAAAATAAAAAAAAAAAAACAAATAAAGAAAGGAAATCTGTTTTCTATTTAAATAAATAAAAACTAGACAAATTTTTATAACGCATGAAAATGCATAAGATTTTTGGTGTTTGATTTTCCACAGCAGCATTATTTTCCTCTTTTTTTATTTATTTATTTATTTATTTTTTGATCGTTTTAAATACCACATCAAACGTTAGAAATGCGCACAACAAATTCAAGAGAATTAGCCGAAAATAAATAAAAGAAAAAAGGCAAAAAATAAATAAAGAAAAACAATGAAAACTAAATTAAAAAAAAAAAAACGATAAAATGAGAAGAAAATAATTAATAAAGATGGCCACAACGATTTTAAATCTATTACAACGTGAAAAATGTGAAAAGTTAAGCAAAGAAAAATTGCAGTCGTCAGCAGAAGGAGGCAACAGCACCGGCAGCGGCGGAGGAGGAGGAGGAGGAGGAAAAAATAATGAACACAAGAGGAAAAGTGTAGCAGTAGATGAGAATCAAAATCGAAATAATTTAAACATAGTTGCGACATGCGCCCTAGCTGATGATGACTCTTTGGTGGCTGGTGGGGGTATTGGTGGTAGTAGTATACCGACGCAAAGGCGTCGAAGATCATATGTTTTTGCTACTCTTAAAGATGTTATTGCTCTGGTAAATGCCGAGGAGAATAACACTACACCCACAAATCAGCAACAACAACCACATAACGAAGAGCATAATAATATAATTAAAAATGTAGAAAGCCCCCCCTAGCACCGATCGAATTGAAGAGAGGAAGGATGCCGCCGCCACTATTATGCTATCATCTACTGGGGATTATCATAATAATGATAATAATAATAATAATGATAATGATGACGATAATTGTACTACTAAACGATTGCAACAACCCAGGCAACAGAGGCGTTATATGCGCAGTGCTACGGCGGCCAGTGTAACGCAGTTGTTGTCCGATGGTTGTAACAGTCTGTTGCAAAGATTTCGTCGTAATCCAAGCGAACGCCCTGAACAGAAATTTCAACAGCAAAAACAAGAACAAGAACAAGAACGGGAAAGGGAACGAGATCGAGAACGTATACGTGAGCGCGATAATAATATACAACAACAATTAAAAAATAATCGGTAATATTTTGAAAAAGAAATTAATCAAATATGAAAACAAAATTTTTTAAATTAAAAAAAAATTAATATGAAAAAGAAAGAGAAAGAGAATATATCCTCAATAAGGAAAATTTTTTATTAAATAAATTTCAAGTGTACTCGCAAAAAAAATGATTACTTTTTTCGCTTTTTCTCGCTATGACTGACTTCTTGCCTGCTGCTCTATATATTTAAATAAAAAGTAAATTTTATTTTGGGTTAATTATGTAAAAAAAAAAAAGAAAAAAACAAAAAGAAAAAGAAAGACGAGAAAAAAAACACGCATTTTCTTGTGTGTTTTATATGCGATTTGTTAAATAATTCACTCACTATAAAGAATTTTATTTATTCCTTCTTTTGTTTGTTACGTTTAATTCGAAGACTTTGTGAAAATGCCTCTCGAATTCAATCGAATTGAAAAGTAGTGTACGTACGTGTGGTGCCGTCTATGAACGCAAATATTTTCTTTTGGGTTTCTCTACCTACTCTACACAGTCATATAATATATTTTATATGAATTTCAATTGTGTTTTCATTATTGCGTTTACTGTCTGTCTGTCTGTCTGTCCGTCTGTCCGCATATAACTATAAATAGTTTACCATTTGGTGTATTGAAAATTTTACTTGATTTATTCTTTTAATTTATAAAACAAAGTAAAGTTTAAGAAAACAAAAATCACACCTCCAACAACAACATTTAAGGGGACTACTAATTACTAACAATTACAAAAATCATTGTTCGTCGAATTCCTTTGCAAAACCTTTTCACAGCTTTCGAGCAAAAAAAAAGAAAATAAAATGTAGGAAATGTATTTTTAAATAAGTGAGAGAGAACTAAACGATTAATGCCAATCAGGTAAACAATGGTGTGCTGCAGGTGCAGATTGACATCACAGAATTGCTCTGACAATTCAATCTCAGTTTGAATCTATAACAAGTACACAAAGCACTACATTAATCATACGCTACAACTGCAACTATAATATCAAATAGATAAACAATGGCATGGCACGCAGATTGACATCCCAGAATTGCGTATTCGCGAATCTCTCAAAAATTTTAAAATGAAGTGATACTTGAATGTAAACAATTGGTGACAATATGCATTTAAGTGTTAATTCCCAGTAAAGAACAAGCAAACTCTTTGAACTTTCAATGGAATGGAGAAAGGTTCTCTAGCCAAGCTGTGCTAGACGCCTTCGGGACTTTGAAGAACAGACGACCAAAAGATAAATTTCTGCAATAAGTTCGGGATTTGGATTATTCATAATTCTAGAAGAGATAGGCTTCCTACGACAAGTGTGAGAATTAATCCGTTCTCCAAGTTTTCTTGGTAGAAACTCTACCTGTTCATGCTATGATAAAACTGTAGTTCCTGTGTAGTCAAACTAGGTAAACAATAAATAGCGTGTTGTGAAAGTCTATTTATTCATCTCCCGTAATGTAAGAACGGTGCGCTACATATGCAATATTCAGAAAGTGGTGACGTATTTGTTTATTCAATCAATCGAATCAATGTCAGTTCAGTTAACGACATGTGCGCGAGTCGCTGTACGAGCCAATGATATTTTACTCCTTTTTCCCTGGAAAAGTAATATCACTGGTGATCTAGAAGTTGCAAGTGGAAGACTGAACGAACCAATCATAAACAATGCCTTAAAAATCAGAATAAATAATGTTTTGGCGTAATCTTCTCATATACCTACAATTTTGCTGACCATGCTTTCCTATAAAATATAAAATGTTTCAACAAAGACGTCTCATATATCACAGAATTTTGTTCTCTGCATGGTTGTGTCATTCGTAAATTCCGAAATAGCAACGCGAAGGCTGAGAAGAACTATTGGAAAGCACTTTAAAGATATGGTTTTTCCAAGTCAGGCCCCCTCCCCCCGCCCACCTTAAAATGGAAAAAGACTTTTTAGTTTAGATTTAGTTTAGACATTGTCCCACTCTAGGCTTAATAGTATCTTCTCACCTCCTCTCCACCATTTCTACAAAACTGTCGAGAGCGTACATAACATTAGTTCTTATTAAAATATGTTTATATTTTTATATATTCTCGCTTGATAGTACATAAGGGTACCTATGCGATATTCCGGTCATAGTTATATATGAGAAACTTTTAACAAACTTGTCCTCTCCGAGCTTTTCAGGTTCTGTCTCTGCTTTGGTCTCTCCCTCTCTCTCTCTCTCTTCCTCACTTGATATATCCTCCCATTTATTTTAACTTTACAAGAGAATATTACGTTTTTTTCTCTTTATATATAATTTCCTAAATTAGACAACTCTTTGTTTAGTTCCATTTTCAGTGCATTCCCTTAATGGATGGATATATTCTTGTTTTTTGTTTTTTTTTTCCTTCTTTCTAAGAGTTCAAGGTTTTAGTGAAAAAATAAATCATTGTGTGTTAGTGTTTGGTTGTTTTTTTTTTTTTCTTTTTTTTCTTGCACAAAGAAAATGCAACAACTTGCGATAAGTACGCGCAAATACACCCGGTAAGCGTTCACATCCTCAAGCCTTTGTTGCTTAGTAGTTGTTCTCCCCTAGTAATGATCACTCACTCACTCACTTCTTCATTTCTTATTGTGATGATGATCATTTCCTCTTTTTCTTCTTGATTAAGGAAATGCATCGAATATGCAGCATAACAAAAAAAAATATATTTAAAGCATAAAAGTCGCACCGCCGTAATGTGTGTTATGTGCGCATACATTTGCGTACAAGCAAGCAAAACCTTTAAAAAATTCAATTCCGTTCTTATGTTTATTTTTAAAAATCTTATCTTATTTTTATATATGCAAAGTAGTATTACATGCACAAAGTATTTGTTCTTTTAGTTCGTCTGTTTTTTTGTTTTTAATTTAAATAAAGTTTAGTTTATAGTATGCGGAAATGCAAAAAAAAAGAAATTCTTTTTTTTCTTTTCATTGTTTGAGATTTCAAACTATTTCTTCATCATATATAGCAGTCGTCGATGTAAGTTTTCTTTTGTTAGAGACAATTATCTATACGTGGGTGCTGCAGACGTGTTATGCATATGTATATTTCAGTGATTTATTTGCCGTTAAAAGAGGGGATAATAAAACTGCACGTTTTATTTCTTGCTGTCATTTATTTCCATTTTTATGGACTTTTGATAAAATATTGGAAGAGATTGCTGCATTAAAATTTATGAAAATATCTGTCTTTTAAGTGTGAAAATGGGGCGGAACATCGATTGAAGCACGCGCATGTTCTCTTTTATATTTAAGGTTTAAGGTCCTTGGTTGCATTACTAGATAAGGTTACTGTTTAGGGATATCGCGATCAACATTATCGAATCATCTGCGTACTTAATTGTGCCGTAATGGAAAGCATTAGGCGAAGTGAGTATCACTATCACTACTAATTCTCTTCTCTGTTGATCGGTCTGTCAAGCCAGAATTATTATTTCTCAAAACCGTACAATCACAACTCTTTCTCTCGAGAGAATATGATAGATAAATCAACTTGATTTAAGGATAGCGGAAGAAACCGGTAAACCGATCTATTTGACTTGTGCTTTTATTATAGGAAGAAATTGTTACTGCCCTCTGTCAAAGAAGCTTTGATTGTCTTTCCCCCCGGGGGGGGGCGATCACTCGACTTAAATGAGTGCCTATGGTTGTAGGCAACACGTCTGATTAAGGCATCAAGCCAGGTGCAGACGTTAAACCCTCAGAGACATCTGTCAAAGAAGCTTAAAATACGAACGACATTTTTTTCATTCGTTTTCTGACTCAACATGAAGATCGTCTCAATAAATAGCAAAAAAAGCATTCTTGTCTCAGGTCGTTCTTGACCTCTTCGACAAAGAGGTAGGTGCAATAGAACTTATAACGTTTAGCTAGCTATCCATCTTTTCAATATTTCTAATCAAATGCGTCAATTTGAATTTGTACAATCGCAAAGAATTGAAGATGAGGAAGCTGTGAAAACTCTCCTTAACGGATTACGAATCAAAGGTTAAATTATCTTTATGATCTGTGCACATATATGCCCACAATAGATTAGAAACTAAGACATTGTCACAATAACTTTGGGTTATGTAAAGATATTTCGGGAAAATCCCTATCGAAAACCTCAATCAAAATGTATTCGTAATTAGGTGAAGAGCGTGCTTAAGAGCAATGGTTAAGTTTAAAGTGGAAATGAATTTGAATTCAAATTCTATCGTTAATTGCGCACAAGCTAGTGTAGACTGCTAATATTGCATTAGAATATATCGAATGTATGTAGTATGCTAAGTCATAGTAGGAAGGCTATGGCAAGGTAACACAAGACGTTGCTGCCCTCCCATGATTAGTGATTAGTGTTCACAACTTCAGAATACGGTTTATTTGTCTAATATTTGGATAGCCTTATGGATATTGTTTTTAATCTTTTGTTCTATCGCATGGGATATTTCGGTGACTCATGATAATACTTTTTTTGTCCATATTTGCATCATTTTCTCATTTGTAAAGATGCACTTAGTTTATGATGAATCATATTATGGTTAAATATTTGTTTTAATATCTACTATGAAAACCTGTGTAAGTATGGATGTGTATGCTTACATATACATATACATACTTTTCAAATCTTCTTAACTTATAAACATAAAA